TTCTTTAAGGATCATTCTTGGTGTACACGATATGCACAAAATGTGTAGATTGTCTACGTAGCAATTTGACATAAGTTCTATATCTTTTTAAACAAATTGTCTTTGACATTCTCCCACTCCCAAACAGACTTTCATCCATTGGTGAAAACGTTAGCCGGTCCTCGCTCTACGTTATCACTCCTCGCGCCCGCTATTCGGTGGCAGTCCCCGTAATTTACGGCGGCGGTGCAAATCCATATCCCTGCACCGTCTCCTTGGCCAATCGGCACCGGCGGTAGCCCCATCGATAACCGCCGCCCACCTCTTTCTCTCTAACAAGGATCTCCACAGTCAACGATTCTTAGGAGCTCAGACACACTTCAGAATTTGTCGAACTTCTGGTGCGTTAATGTTTTTTTCTTTCTGTTCCTGTTTGGTACAGCATATCTGCAAAGCTATGGCGTTTTTTCAAATATCTTCAGATCATCAAGATATTTTGTGATTGTGAAAATGCAAGCCGAAAAAGCTGCTGAAAACAACGCCATTATGTTATTCCTTCCCTGATTTCTGAGTTTATGTCTTCCTTAAACTACTCAAATACTCCATGGTACATTCCAGAGATTCTAGAAATTGGTTTGCCGATATATCGTTTCGATCTGCATTATTCCAACAATTTCAAAGAACAGAACGTGCGCAGGCGACCAAATATTCTGCTGGATAATTTTCCTGGTTTATAAAAAAATTACTTGTAATGGTAATTAAATATCTACCTTTCATTTTGAAAATGTTAATTATCATACGTAATACGGAGTAGTTGGAATTAAAATATAATTGATTCCTACTTCCGCTCAAAGTGAAGGGGCTAAAATGTTTTTGTGTTCCTCAGGGATCTAATTCCACCCAAGCGTTATTTTTGGTTGTGCAGAAAAGTTCAAAATGGGATAACATTGTTAGTTGTACTTGTTTTTCTTTATACAGGATTTAAAAGTTCGTCAGTGTTTCAATTTAATTTTATTGAGCCGGTATCATGGGTGCTGAAAGTGTGAATGAATCATGGTTTAGAAACTTCTGGAGAACTTCAAGGAAGAGCTCAGTATCAGAGCCTGAGAAGTCCATACTCGGCATTTTAGCATTCGAAGTATCAGTAATGATGTCTAAGATTATTAACTTGTGGCACTTAATAGGTGACAGATCGATTGAGAGATTAAGAGAAGAAATTACAATTTCACTGGGTATTCAAAAACTAGTCTCTGAAGATGATGATTATCTCATGAATCTTGCCATGACTGAGGTAATTAGCAATGTGGGGTGCGTAGCAAAATCAATAGCTAGGCTGGGAAAGAGGTGTACACACCCAGCATATCATGATCTTGAAAACATACTCGATGATCCGATCATGATGGATCTTAAATTTAGTGGGTGGGAATATAGGGTGAAGAAGATGGAAAGGAAGGTCAAGAAAATGGAGAGATTTATTGGTGCCACAATGCAGTTGACTCAAGAACTTGAAGTGCTTGCAGAGAATGAGCAAACTTTGAGACGGATGCAAGCTGGTCGTCCCAATTCCAATTCTGGTCAAGTGAAATTAATCGAGTTTCAGCAGAAGGTCATTTGGCAGCGCCTGGAAGTTAAGAATCTGCAAGAAATGTCACCTTGGGTTAGATCCCATGACTACATTGTCCGGCTTCTACTCCGATCCATTTTCACAATTATTTCGAGAATCAAGTATGTTTTTGGGATAGAACATAACACAGGAGTTGCATCTACTAAAACTGAAGAAAGAAGTCACTGCGAGGATTTGAGAACTAACTCTCTAACCCGCAGCCGCTCTGTTTCTGGATCTATTTATCCATCTGAAACTAACATGTCCGCGTTCTATTCGGGACCTGTAGTTAGGTCACTGGAGAGGTCACTTTCAAGTAAGGGGCTTAGTAGTGTCAATAAAAACAAGATAAACAACCACAAGATATTACTTATCAGACAGTCATCGGTTTTCTGCGGGAAACCGTCACTGGTCAAAGCAAGACGGCTTGCTCCTGTTGCATCTTTTGGAGGGTGCATTAAGGCTGCTGGTAACGATTCACCTGTTATAGAAAGCTGCATGCCAATAAATGATCACCTTTTGGATTGTCGCCATGAATCAAAAGACAGATATGCCCTTGTTAGGGGTGTCATAAGGGGAACTAAAGTTTCTTTTTTCAATATGAAACATAAGATGTTAGCTGTACCCCCTTCAACTCTTGGTTATGCAGCCTTGGCTCTCCACTACGCAAATATTATCATAGTTATTGAGAAGTTGGCGGCTTCGCCTCACTTGATCAGTCCTGATGCTAGAGATGACCTGTATGGTATGTTACCAACTAGTATAAGAAACTCACTGAGGGCCAGGTTGAAGATATTCACAAAGACATTGGCTTCATCTGTTTATAATCCTTCACTAGCAGGAGGATGGGCTACAGCGGTTGGAAAAATAATAGAATGGCTATCTCCACTTGCTCATAGCACAGTCAGATGGCATTCTGAGAGAAACTTTGAGAAGCAACCAACAATTTCTGGGAGTAATGTGCTTCTTGTCCAGACCCTCTACTTCGCAAACCAAGCTAAGGCCGAAGCAGCAATTGTTGAACTTCTGATGGGTCTCAATTACCTTTCACGATTTGGTGAGGAAATATATTGCAGTAACAAAGCCATGGAGTCTTCTTGTAGTAGGGATTGTGATGACTATTTTCTCCACCAGGGCATTTCTCATTGTGCAATAAATATTGGCCCATAAGTGACTGCCTTATAAATGATGTCTGAATGATCTGTAGCTGGCAGACTGAATGCAAGGCATATCAGGATGAGGATGCACAGTGTTGTACTTATAACACATACTCCCTCCGTCCCATTTATATTGTCCCGGAAGAGGGTGGCACGGTTATTAAGAAAAGTGGGTTTGTGTGGTTGATATTAATTGATAAAGTAAGAATAAAGTAAGAATGATTTAGAACCACACAAACATTGCCAAATATGGTATGGGACAATATAAGTGGGACTTCCCGAAAAGGTAAAACGAGACAAAATAAATGGGACGGAGGGAGTACCTGGGAAGAGAAGCTACTTCATCTATTCTTTTTTGTAACATTTACCTGTAAAGCCATGGAATCTTCTATCTTATAAACTGCTTTTTTTTTGTAAATGTTTCTATAGAAAGCAGTACTAAAATTATCTCCTTTTATAAAATGCATTAGAAATTATAAGACTACGAGCCCGTTTGGTAGCACAAAAATCGGCTGTTTTGGCTGTTTCTGCTGAAATTTATGAAGTTCTGGCTGAAGTGGCTGTTTTGGCTGATTCTGCTGATTCTAGAAAAAAATATTTCAAAAATATATTTTATTAATAAAATAAAGAAAAAATTACATGTAAAAATAGCTAAAATGGTCATCTACAGTAACTTCAGCCAATACAGCCAGAAAAGTAACTCCAACCTTACTACCCAATTCAACACGCGAAAGTAAAAATTACGTGTTTGGTGAAAAAGCTGGCTGATAAGCCTGATAAGCCGAAAAAAAGGGTCTCCAAACGGGCTCTACATTACTCATCTTTAATTCTCCAACCTTTTATACAATTTGATGTTGGCCCGAGGCACTCTTTGGCTTCATTCTCACTTCACTGATGCGCCATTTATTTTCAGTTATTATTATTTCATATTTTATCTTATTCGTCTGAATCATCTCTCCGTCACATGAACACATAGGGACTCTTTACCCTTTTTCTATTAAGTCCTGTCTGAATTAGGACGTTTGTTTGAGTTAGAATGTCCGTCCGAATTAAGTGAAATTTGTATATGAGGCTGTTTATTTTATATGCTGAATAAACAGTCTGAATTGAGTAAAATGATCAATTTAGTACAAGTATTATTCTTAAATTATAATGTCAATGAAAAACTTTATTTATTAATAAAAATCTATTCCACAATCAATTCAAAAAAATTGATAGAAAAAATGTCTTAATAGATGTCTTAATCAGGACTGTTGTTCTCTAGCTTAATGATGAAGTAAGTTTTTTAACTGAATGATTAAGTCATTCTTCCAATTAAGTCGTGAGTAAACGTGACTTAACAGTTGAATGATTGAGTCGTCATTGTCATTAAGTCTATTAAATCGATATTGAACAGCCCCATAGTTTTATATACACCCTCTATTCTACAGTTTTCTTCCCACTTGTGAGTTAGATATGTTTATTTAGAATGTGAAGTTGTATGATTATAGTTGATTCAAAAAGGTTAAACGGATGGGATATTGTAGTGAAGTAAACAAACGTAATGTAACCACATTAAGAAAATGGAAAGAAAATTTTGAAACATCCTAACAAGAAAAATGTGATGGAAATTATGGGACATAGAGAATATTATTTAACAGCGCTTTATATCCTTTATAAATTATGACGCACTCTGTGCTTTGTTTTTATTGTTTGGAGATGAAAACTGCCTTTTCCTCATTATACATATTAGTATGGATTTTGACCAAATGGCTTTATGCATATAAAATAATTTCATACTAATTCCATATTAGTGATATCTAGAATCCTATATGCACCTGAACAAGGCATGTTCTACTTACACAGTTACACCATAAGTACATATGCCTAAGGGCATTCATTTCCATAAAATGTCATTAACTGATTGACATAACACGTTTGCCTAAAACATTTTTGCAAGCCACCAATCTGCCTCAACTTCTGTGGAGGGATCACTTTGTTCATCTTCCCGACATTCATATTCCCAGAAAGCCATTCCTAACAGTCATTTTAGATCTCTTGGCTACATTCTTGTACACTTTCAACATGGCCATGAAGGCTCCTTCTTTGCCACCGAAACCTCATTTTGAATTTATCCAAATTTCAATCATTTGCATGTGTTCTCTTTTCTTCACCTTTTGGAGATTTGGCACTAATTCTTCAGTAAAGATCACAACAACAATAATTGTATCTGGTTAAAATTAGGGCCAAGTTAATATCCTGAAGTAGTTCATAAAGAATTTCAATGTAAATAAATAATTGTTTACCATACAATGTCTGGTCAATAGTATATGTATAAATATAAGGTTAGAATATATGGAGTACTATGTCTGTACTCTGTATTATTCACACATACGTCTGTATTATTCACACATATGTATGTATGTCACACAATTTCTAATAATTGTTATACGTAGTAATTGTAGAACTAGGGTTAGGGACCTCTCCCTAGTTTTTTTTTGAGGTTTCTACCTATGAAAACATTACACTGCTTCACGATGTACAGTAACAAATTAACTAATTATGCTAATGACATAATACAGCACCAGGAACACTGAATGCTCCGCGCTCCCCGGAAGCTGGAGCACTAAAGTTTATCCAAGAGAAAACAGTATTTTCCACCTTGTTTTCTAAAAAATGTGGATGGCTAGTACATGCCATAGGTTCTCAATGATCCCGTGAGATAGAGCTTGATAAGCTTGTTTTGCTGCAACACGGTGCGCTTCAAGAATAGTCTCATCATCAAGGAGCTCTCTCAGAGCTTCTACAAGGCCATCTTCAGAAATCTACAAAATAAATAGTATTACAGCTATATGTCAACCTGACAAAATATTCAGAAGATCCAAAATAATTCAATAGCATGCTTGAAGACGCAGATCATAGTACAGAGAGATAACAAGAGGATTACAAACCTGCCGAACTGATAAAGGATTAAACTGTTGCATCTCCTTTGCCATGTTTAAGAAGTGCCCAATGTAAGGGCCTGTTGCATCACGAGTAAGAAAATAAGATATTCATTTAAAGCATGTTCAATAATATCATGTACAAAATGACATTACTCGAGTTAGCTTGCAAATACACCTGAAGATTACCTGTCAGAGTAGCGCATCCTGCTGCTGCTGCTTCTGAAATGTTATGACCAGTCAAACCAGGTATAAAAGAACCCCCAACTACAGCTATTGGGGTTAGTGTGTAGAACATTCTGAGTTCACCTGAAGATCACAATAACAAAACACATATTAATAATATTGCAGATTATTATGAAGTCAATTGAGCTTCTTAAAATTTAAAAGCAAAAAAGTGACAGATTATCTTTTCAAAACATGCTTGTACAAGAACCATCTCAAACTATAGACATGTCAAACGGTAGTAAGTTAACACTCATATTGAGACTTGGGAGAAACAATCGAGCCACTGAAGTCTGAAGGTCAAATTATTATGTCATATTTATTGATATAAAATGGTTGTTCCCAGTGCACAGAGTTTGGGATGGTCTCATGGTCCCATTGTACATTTGTAGACAGCCTTATCCTATATTTGTCTATTTTCAGTATTTGAACACGTGATCAAGCAGGTTACAAGTATGGACTTAGCTATTTTGTAACCCGATATCAATGTTAATTCTTGATATTTTAAAGAAAATTCCTAATAAATATACATAAATATCAGAACAAAAGAAAGAAAAATGAGACTAATTATTTTCCTGAAAGGAGGTGAGAACATATGAGACTTGAAGATTGCATAACCAAAGTTATTCAGGTTAAATATAATTACATTACATACCTAAAGTGTCAACCAAGTAAATGTTTGTTTCTGGCATAATTTTATCATTACGGGACCTTAAGGCTACACTCAAGTGTTCTTTCTGCAACCCCTGCATGATATCAAGGAGGAAATATCAAATCTTATTTTTCAAGTCAACAATAAATGCGCCCAATCAAGAGATGCCACAGCGAATTAGTTTATGGTATGTCGGAATAAATAAATATATATAAAAATAAAAGATGATTTAATAAATCCCTTCTATATCAACTCCAAAAAATCAAATCAACCGCGAAACAATTACAGAAGAATCATCACCAGTTTTATGCACACAAGCATGTAAGTTTAAATATACATATTATCATCCAAGAGCCAACTCTACATGCATCACATGAAAATCATACCAAATAAATTTCTTTCCCGTGCTGTGGATGCCGAGGCACAATGATAGTCAATATATCAGGATATACTTGCTTTAGCTCTTTGTGGACTTCTATCATGACTGCAGATAAACAATGACAGGATTTCAAACATCACTAAGCATAGTTAGTTGGTTATTTATTATGATGAAACTGCACAAAATTAAGAAAAGATAATAATTGCAAAACCTCAACCTACTTTCCTAGTTTCTGCTTTTTCCAGCAAACCCTTCCCTCAAACAGAGAAACCAGAAAGTTGACTTCAAATTTGTCACAAAGGAAAATGAGAAAGAAGTGGTGTAATACTTTACTATGTAAAAGAACATTCTTATCTTGGTTCCAGTCTTATTCAATGTCTACTGCTTAGAGTCTACTTTAGGGGTGGGGTGGATGAGGGGAAGGCTAGGAGAAATATAAAGCACTGAGGCTTTGTCATCTCCAGAAAATGTAGTTCATAACGCGAGATTCAAAAAACAGCAATTGGTTCCACACGTATAATACTCTATAATACCATTTATACCTTCTTCTTCACCTTTGTGAATGGACGAAGCCAGCCACATCTTTCGCTCAGCAAGCTGTAGCTTCAAATCATTCAATAAACTATGGTGTCTTTCAACAGTTTCAAAGTTCTCTACAGCTAAAGCGCACATAATTCATTATTTAGTACCTCCTCCATTGCAAAATATATGAGAGCAAAAGACGTCTTTGTAGTGCAACTTTCACTGAAAACATATAAGATGTGACACTTTTCCCTAACATATGAAAGTATTCTTCGAAGTTCAAAAAGAGGACACAATAATATCAGTTTAACAACTTTTTAAAATGAAGCAAGGGAAGTAAAAAATTGGCAGTGTTTAAATTAAGAGAGACATTATTTTAGAATGGACTAAAAAGAAAATTGTAGAACAACAAACAGATACCTTAATGTGACTTCTGACTTGCAACTCACAACTCTATGATATCTTAAGCCAACTATAATGCGTATTTATAGAAACAATGGACATTTACACAACAGGAATCAGAAACCCAAATTCTTCTATAAGTAGGATGTTACTATCAAGAATGCAAGTGAAGAATCTGAGCTCGTGGCAAAGGGGCTGATCCAAATGCACAAACTGAGCCAGTTGATGAAGAATTGAGCCATCTGTAATGTTTTTCTAAAAGAAGTGTGAACTATGACCGACTACATGCATCACAAAAAAACATGATGGTTCTAAAACTTGGAGTAACTATTTCTCTATACTTTAACAAGTTGGATACTACAATCGGAAAGAGTGAGATAATAAGTTGGTGTAAATCCTCATTCTAAAAACCCAAAACTGATTCTTCTGTAACGCTGAACTGAGATAAAGGACTTGGCAGTTGCCAGCACATTTTTCCACATGTTATTTAAGGAATGCATAAAAAAATAAGCTCAGCACACACGGTCCACACTCTTAGTCATAAGACTAACCCCAACCTCCAAGAATATTTGTCTATTACTATTTTATTTTTGAAAATTCCTGGAGTGACCCTCAATCTACTATGCAAAGTAACCCTGATGTATGTTAAAATAACCAGGTAATCTCATGAGGTAACCCTTTGGTCATTTTTATAAAGGCTGAAAACACAAGGGTTACATTTGATAAGTTCCTTCATGTTTTGCAACAGGTATGAATCAATATACTGGGCAATTGGGCATACCATACTTTAGATCACCACAAAATTTAATGATAAAAGGTGAAGCCTGCAGCAGCTGAAAATAGATTCCTTGTGTGGTGCTCTATGGAAGCAATATATAAATATCAGTATCAATAAGACAACAAAATATAACATTACTATGAAGGATACAGTGTATACAAATACTTGCCAGTGGGACAATAAGTGAAAATTTTGACAGCAATAATGATGTCAATGGAAGTATGACTGGAAGAGACCACATTTGATAAGACTTTCTAGACATCCTAGCATTAAGCAATGCCAATGCCATCTGAGAAGCACCATTGATGACTGTAAATAGGTAACACAATATTTAAATGTACATATGTACACATGGTCTGCAAGGGGTGGGATCACATACAAACTAGTCTTCCCATGCTAACCTACAAACTGTCACAAACTGTGCATCTTTACATTATTTGTACTGCATATTGAAGTTCAAAGTGTTGCATATTATTTGTACTGCAGATTAAAGTTCAAAATGTTGCATATTATTTGTACTGCATATTGAAATTCACAGTGTGCATCTTTATATTATTTGTACTGCATATTGAAGTTCAAAGTGTTGCATATTATTGAGTTTGTAGGTTAGTATTTTAAGCATGGTTTGTATTTGATCTCTTGTCCGGTCTGCAATAGTGCGATGCATGGGTAAGTATCGTATGAGCACATAAAATAGTACAACAGTTGCTATTGAAAACAAAACAAAGCAAACCAAACCAAAACAAAACATAACGAACAAACAAACAAAGAAACATAAAGGCAAAAGGCAGACATGAAGCAAACAAACAAACACACAGACAAACAAACAAACAGACAGACAAACAAACAAACAAACAAACAAACATAACGGCAGACATGAAGCATCACAAGGTTGGACTTGAAGATTGATTCTAGAAGAGTTTTTGGCAATGACAGGTGGAAAGCCTTTGTCGGAATGATATAAATTGAGTCAGTGACATGCACATTAAGTATGAAAAGAAATGCTCACCCCATGTTTTGCAGCACACATAACAATGTTTGGCCAAATCTCACTTTCCATCAATACGACTGCAGTTGGACTCCAGTAACAGAGAAAGGCATCAATGACTTGAGGAATGTCAAGTGGACAAAACTGATTTGTGTGGAAAATATTAACTAGTCAGATAAAATTCAATTTCACTACTTACTCAAGGAAGACAGTCCGGAAGCAATGAAGCATACTAAATTAAAGACTCAAAGTGTAATTTGGACAGAAAAAGGTTTACACCATGTTAGTCCATAGACATACTTCCGTATTACCTTGGATGTAAATATCACCATACAATTAGTAAATTAATATTCAATTAACATTAGGAATTTGAGCAGCAAAAAATTTCCAAGGCGTATTATCTTGACAGAAAAAAGAAATAAAATTATCAATACCTGATATATAACATTGCTTGGAAGCAGGTTCTTTATTACTCCACTGCCAGAAGTTAAAAAAATAAAAACACGAGAACTTTATTTTTCTCGCACAGTCCAATTAAAAGATGTGTCCAGAAATGATATTAATTTATTTATGACTGCAGTGATCAACTAAAGACTAACCAAACAAAGGGGAAACCATTTCAAACAATTATAATATAAATCGACTATCTTCACAACTTGTAGCAAGCAACATAGTCATCTGAATTCACTTTACTTTAAATAAATATGACGTTGAGAAAGACCTCTCAAGCTATATCAATTGTGCTCTTGGAAAAAGACCTTTCTTTTACTCTGATTGGTACTGATGGCGATTTACTCTGGTACCCTTGGAGAATTATTGTATTCTGCTGAAAGTATGCCTGGTCGATCCAAGGCATGGTATATTACAGTCTTGCACTCACTACTTCGCCTCACCACACAGTCATCTATGAGTAACTAGCCTCAATTGTTAACCAAATGTGACTGAATAACTTATCTCCTTTGAGTGTTTGAGGGAAAATGGTCCATATTATGGTATTTGTGCATTTGATGGGGTATTTTGAGAAAATTTGTGTGGAGAAAATTGTTGCGCTCTTTTTAATACACACTAGTTCGTAGTCATCCCATCCTTAAAGGTAAACTCGTCTTACCTTTCATACCACCATAAGTAAAGGAGTTCCTTTCGGTTGTACATACAGATATATGTTGGTTTTTTAAGTTTTTCTTTCCGATTGCATAAAATTCTATTGAGCACTCTTTTATCTGTTTAGCTCTTCTAAAAATCAACGTGATCTCCAATTTCCTGTCATCCATCCTTTATATGAATAAATAACAGCTATGTTGTTGCTACGTACAATAGAGCAAAACCTCAAATTTTTTAGTGGCAATGCTATATATATTCATCCGGAAATAGTCTCTCTGTGCTTTAGTACCGGGGTTAGGTTGCGTACATCCGACCCCCCTTACCCCTCCGTAGGTGGGAGCCTTTGCGGCACTGGGGTAATGATGATGATGAATGCTATATATATTGAATCAATTGTATCATCTGATGAGAAGTCCATATCAGATGAACTTAAGAGTTCATAGATTACTACAAAAATTTACATCATGTCAGTTGATCCTCCAGTAGAACTTGAATTTCATCTAATATCGTAGAAATTCAACTTCATTCTTGTAGATCTTAGTCACTGAATTCCAAGGTTACCATTGAAGGACAAAATAATCTTCACAGAATCACACAAACAGCTTCTTTACTCCTACGGGTAGGAACGGTTGGCGTACATCTCACCCACACCAGGTCCTATTTCCTAGTTGGACTCAATGGCTTTGTCTGGTTTGGTTTAAAACGTCAAAAGTGCATATATTGCACAAGTCCAACATCATACCCTACTTAAATTCCCAGAATCTTTAGACTATTCTGTTCAAATATGAAGTTTCAATAGAAAGAAAACTGATATCTAACCTGACCAATTATTATACGAAGTATATCTTAAATCAAGAAAAACATCTACCACTTAAAAAAATTAAGCTTTATTTTAATGTGAAAGGAGTCAGGACCAACACTACATGATCTATATACATACAAAAATGCAAGATGCAAATTCAAAATCAGTCTCACAATGCTGATGTTGTAGTACTTGTCATTAGAACAGTTACATCCGGCCTCCTCTCAATACAGCATTTGATCACTGAAATTGCGGCCAGACCCTCCCCTATTTTCAAAATCAGTGCAACAAACAATGACAATATGGACAACCAACCCCATTAGGCATAACATACAAACATCAATAGTTCAGACAGGAGAAACTAAATCATACTATAAAATTCATTCAGTAGTTCATTTTTTTCACTCTTAAACATTACTGCATTACCGAGATACGGATGATAATGGAGTGATCCCAACTTAGATTTTGAATGATTTTTTAAGATTTATTTAGGAATTAAGTTTTCCTCTCGTCGTTTAAATATTCGCGTCTGTTCCAGGAGGCAGGTATTCAATCCAACTCCACCAGTGAGGTGTGTTTCAAAATGAGAGACTCGCCTAGAGAAACGGCATGGAACCAGACGAGAGGACCGGGGGGGCGAGGGAGAGAAGGACGGCCAAGACGCTCGCGCCACCGGGTGGGATGCTCGAGGCCGCGGCGCTTGCGCCACCGCAGATGAAGGTATAACAGCGGCGAAATGCCGTACATCAGGGCTCTATAAATCCCATACAAGATTTCACCACGCTCCCTCGCCATTCACAAGCTCGGAGTGCTACTCTCCTGATTCGGTGATAACTGAGCTCAAGCCCAGGACAGGGTGTATCTTTGCTCACTTTTTTAAAACGAAAATAATTAAAATATTCAAAACTTTTGAGTTAAGTCGTACGTCAAGGCTTTATAAATCTCAAACTTGCATATGTAATTTAAATACTTCAAACTTTATAAAAAAAGTTATTTTAGCACCATTGTCATATATTATTTCTTTAGAAAATATTACTGAGCAGTTTTTAGTGTTAATTTCATAAATTAAAATATTTTAGCATTCATGAAAATACAATTATCATTATAAACTGCCATTATAAAATAAATAATACTACCCCCACTCTATATAATTGCATCATTTTTAATTTTCTATTTTAAATTATGCAATTGACATCATAAATTTACATTTTTGAAAAAAATTATATATGGTCATAGTGTTAAAATAACATTTTATATAAATTTTGGGGTATTTAAATTACATATGAAAGTTTGAGGTGTTTATCTCACACTTCTTCAAAGTTTGGGGTATTTTAATTAATTTTCCCCTTTTGAAAATTGCTAGAACTTCGGACATGTTTTTTTTTTTAGAACAGAACTTCGGGCATTGTAAAGTATCCAAATATCCAATAATGAGTTTTTTTTGTTAATGTATGGACTTATGTATTGTGCACATTTTTAGTTGACAAAAAAAGTATATCAACTTAATATGAATACTTGAATAAGACATATATTCTGTATATTTTTAATCGGGGAAATGATCAATTAAGTATATCAACTTATGTATGATGTGACGTAAATAATACATTTTATTATATATTTTCAAGTAAATAAACTCTTTTTTAGTGTTAGTTGAGTATAATGTTGACTTTAACGTTAAAAACATTGTGTCACAATTAATAGCAGTTTGTTTGGCATAGGCCAATGTTACCATCTTGAACTTGCCCCTCCAATTTGGAATCATTGTCGCCCCTTGGCGAATGAAAAGAACTCTCTTTAAGCCTCTTGTATTGTATTTTCTTTTCGCCGACCAATCAACTAGCAAAGAGATTTTCAAATTAAGACTAAGACATAGCATTCTGGATCAATTGGTGGAAAAATCGGTCAAGGGTAAGTCGACCAAGGTTCTTGCATTGACCTTCACAAAGTCGATCAAGGTTATGGCATTGACCTTTAGGAAATTGACCAAGTGTTGACATCGACCTTCAGGAAGTCGACCAAAGTTCTGACATCGTCCTTGAAAAAGTCGAAGGGGAGTCGTCGATGATGGTAGGTCAACCTTCAGGAAGTCAACCAAGAAGGGGGCATCGTACACCCGTTTACTCTTACTCGACATTTCGTTTGTCAACTTAGTCATATTAATGTGTTAATCTAGTTTTTGTACTCAATTAACACCAAAGGACCGAGTTTATTTACATAGAAATGTCATATGCAATATAGTGTACTTTTTTATTCCACTTTAAACAAGTTGATATACTCAATTGACCATTTTATCATTTTAATCTTTGCAAATATGTCATATTTGTTTTAAATCCTACAATTTTTTTTCATTTTTTGTAATGTGCACTACAAGATATTGCCATCACTCCAAAATCACAACCCTACCATGAAATCCTAGCCGCTCTGAGATGTTGTTAATCTTTATTGTGTGGGTATCAAACACTCTATACAATATAATATTAAACACTAATATGGTAATATAAACGGAGTATAATTCGCATCCACGGGGAAATATTTGAGGTTTGTAGGAAATATGAAAGATTTAAAGTCCCAAGATGAATGCATTATGAGAATGAATAAATGTATCGAGATTGAGACTTGTTCTTGCTAATTTCCAGTTAATGATTTTCCAAACGACCAAAGTAATCCTTCTAACTTTCTTTTATGTGAAATTTAAATTCGCCATCAATGACTGTTGTTAACAATAAAATGCATTCTTTAATAGTCCATACTATTAGACAATCTAAGCAAGTGTTCTAGATTGACCTAATAGTAGCGATGAATTGATTGCATTGATTTTTGAGTGTTTATATTTATACTTTGAATTAGTTTTTACGATGTGTTGTTGTGGTAATTGCACATTTACGGTGCAACCATTCTATTTTTCTAATTTGTTGTAACTTAGTAAATTTTAGAATCATCTTGAGCAAGCATCAATCAAGGATCAACAAAGGATCATGGAAGGGATTAAGGGAGCAAGATCAAAGGAACGTGCAAGGGAGCAAGAAATCATGTTAATTAAAAATGTGATTTGGTGGCTTACCCGGTCGGGTATGAGTTGAAAATGGAAGCGAAATTGGGCACATACCCGGTCGGGTATGGTACTTTACCCGGTCGGGTATGAAGTGACCCGGACAAACAGACGTGCTGAAGAACACAAAAACGTGGGGAATATTTGATTTTGACCGATACCTTGTCGGGTATGTCCATTTACTCGGTCAGGTATCCGCCCCAGGGTGTTGAAAACACCTATGAATAACACACTTTTCCTTCACTTTTAATCATTCTTTCTTCCATACTCTTAAGCTGAGTTTAGAATAATATTTCTTTATATTTTTCTAGCATGTTTAGTCTCCAAATGAGGAACTAAACTTCCATTTCTTGGTTTTGCTCTTGAAGCTTGTTGATATTAAAGTTGTGAGTTATTTTCTTAACTTTTTTTTCTTGATTATTAATTATTCCCTTAATCTTCATTCTATATTAATGTTGGGGTGTTGCTACGTGATGATTAGTTAACGCTTCGACATTAATTATTAATAGAAACGATCAACGAACCGATGGTTAATCGTTGATGGTTTCACGAGTAAGTAACTTCGGTTTATTAATGCACGGTTGTCGTTTATAAACTTAAGAGGGATTAATTTTGTTGGTTAAACCGAAACCGTTGTGTTAATGTTATCAATCTCAATTGATTTCATCGAGGAGTTAAAAAGATTAAATGCTACTATTAAATCGGTATACGACGTTGTTCTATATTTGATTAATAGTAATGGTTGTTAATGAACGGTCGTTGTTAATAACTACCCTCGATGAATTGGAAATACTCCTCGATTGAATTAAATCATATATAAGTCGCTCAATTTGTTGTTTAAATTAATTAAATTCCAACAATCCCAAAAACCCCCTTTTATTTACTAGTTTTATAAAAAGAGAATTACTCATTTATCTGTGGATACGAACTCTACTTCACTATACTACGTATAAATGTTAGTATCAAATTTATTTTGACGCATTATAACAAAGTGCTCGTCATGAATCTTAGATAAAATCAATGAATTATGACTGCAATACAGGTGGTTTCAATTCTTTAGCACTTCATTTTTAGAATATTAATCATGAAATGTACGTAATATGCATTAACAATCGAAATAAAGTTACTTTTATGAGAAGATAGCTCAAGTAAAAGATTACATATTTAGTGATCTTTTGTATTAATAACTAATGAAAAGGGACATGTATATTATTAATAGAGTTTCTCCGGACAAAAAATAAGATCATTTATGTTTTTGGACAAAAATATAACTACTCATTGTGAACTAGTCATTATAGTATATTTTAGAATGACAAGTCATTGTAGATGACGAGTCATTGTGAACTAGTCACTAAAAATGTTACTTTTTGAGAAATTTTAAAATAAGTCATATTTTTTGTCTTTTGAATTTAATTTAGTACTCCCTTCGTCTCATTATTTGCTTGTTCCACTAAATTTGCACATACCATATTTGACAATATTTGTGTGGTTCTAATTCATTCTTACTTTATTTTTGCTTTATCACTTAATTATCAACCACATAACTCTAATTTTTTAAAAATCACACCAATCTTCTTTGTCCCAATCTTAGGGGGCGGATCAGCGGATGTAGTAATGACCAATTCATAACAATGAATTGGAAAAAGGTCCTAACCAATTCATAACAATGACCAGTTGTTCCTAGTAATATTTTAATAACAATACTAAAAATATGCTTAAAGATATACTCCCCGTCTCATAAAACTTGGTCAAATTTTCTTCTTTGGCCGTTCCGAAAAACTTTGCCATTTCCATTAAATTAAGGAATATGTGGCTAAAATTAATTCAATTTGTTCTGCACAAATTTCAACTACACAAATCTTACTTTATTAATCTACGTGTAAATCAACTTTGGCCAAGTTTTGTAGGACAGTCGGACTGAGTAATTAATACACACGGGAAGTAGATCAGAGGAGCACGATAACTCACAATTTCAGCAATGCAAAAACTTCAACGTAACATAACCAAAATAAAAGGGTTTAGATTCTTATAGGAGTATAAACAAACTAGAAATATAAGAAAAAATGTTTATTTTACCAAGTTTTATGATCAAGAAAAATAGCTATCCAAATGGGAAGACAATGATGAATTTATAGAACAAATCAGACTACTGAACCTCACATCCAACCGAGTATATAAGATATACCCGAACGAGTATGTAAGGAATAAATGTATTTAGATTTTGATGATGCTAGTTCAATTAGGACTTTAGAGTACCCCTATTAGAATTGATGTATTAGAATTTTCCTAAGTGTAAGCATTCTTAGAGTAGTCGACTGGCAGAAGACCTGAAGACCCTCTGTTGAAACTCTGCTTAACAGATCCTCTGTTAGAGCTTTGCTTGACAGAAGACACTATGGCCCTCTGTTCAGGGACGGATCCAGGATTTCTATTCAAGGGGGGCGAAATTTTTCGGTAGTGTAGGTGGTGAAAAAAATTTCGTTAGTGTAGTGGGGTGAAATTTTTTTCCCTAGTATAGCGGAGCGAATTTTTTCCGCTATTGTAGGGCTATGCGGCTAATTTTATTCAAAAAATGGCATTAATACATACACATCCCCAACGACATTTAAATCTATTAAGTAGTACATTCTAAGTTTAAATTAGACGATGACAAAGACATCAACCAATACATTTTTAATAACTTCTACATTGTTTAACCTCATGAATCGGTTATTATTGAATTGTAATTTTTGTCCGGCCACCAAGGAGGGTGTTCGTGAGTCATGACTCATGAGAAGTTTTCTTAATATTACAATAGT